TTGGCACAAGCTGATTGGTTCATGCTGCATATGCAGCCAATGAGCTTACTGCCTTGCATTTATACGGCTAGCTAGCATTCACTTGAGATTCCTGCAGCGCGCTTTCAGAGTTTCTCTGAAACTCAACAGCTAGATAAGTAAACGGTCTGCACTCTGATTTCAGTGCATTATTGCATTCGTCAGATTTACATTTTTAAACTAGAAAACAAAAAAAAATGTAGTAAAGATAACTGAATGCCACAATGTAATCTTTCTCATTTTGGTTGACATTCATAAAATGCGTGAGATTCGCCCTTCCAGCTGTATTTTGGTGTTTCTCCAGAAGATGGTGCTCTTCACCAGATAATGAATGATGACTGACCAGCTCAATCACATTGATCAGGCAAGAGTATACATATAGAAAATGTATGTTTATACTATAGTATTTCACAGGATTGTGAGCTTAAAACATCTTTAATATAGCAGCATAATGAGGAGGAATTAGTACAGAGATTTCTGTTAATGAGTGACCAAATGTATTCCACTCGGACAGTGTCAAAAATATAACTCTCCAAGCAATTAAAGCGGTTTACAGATGTTATGTTGTTATATTTGGCAACAGACAATTTAAAAAATGAAGACCAGAACTTCGCCTGAGAAATACAGTTCTCATCTGATAACCGAAAATGTGAAAGTTTCAAAAAAAAAACTATTTTGCATGAATTTTACAGCAAGTTTGCTTTTTAACAGACATGACATTGGAGACTATTTGTAGCCAGAAAGTCTGGAAAAAAACTGGTAGATGAATGCTTGAAATTAAAAAGATAAAGAGAGTGAGAAAGATTTTGGACAAAGAGGTGAAAGTGTTGACACAAATTAAGCCTTTTGCAATTGTAATGATTATAACCAATAGACATGTTGCTATGTGTGCCGTCATTCAGTGTAACCAAGCCATACCAGTCAGCAAGTATTAAGAAGGCAAGATATGTTTGGAATCTACAAGCACTGATCTGAATGAACGAGTTCATCCAAGATCATGATACATGTGTCCCTGCCTGATCTCAGAAGCAACATGAGGACAATGCTTTAGCCCTTTTCAAATGAACATTCTATTAAGACGAGGAAAAGCTCTCTAGATTACTGTCTGACCATAACATTACGTTGATTCAAAGGGATAGAGGCCAGAATCTTTGCACAGTTATTAGAAATTATGAGAGAGACCCATGGCACTATTTCTAGCTTGAATTGCCACTAGGAAGACTACAGCAATATTGCATTTCTGGATTAACTATCTCTTCAGATTAGTTAGATGTGAGACTCTTGAAAATAATATTAACATGTGTACAATGCAACAACAGAGAGATACATATTACAATACAATCCAGTTCAGCATCTTGCTGGCTACACTGTGTAAATACCTTTAAAAATTAGAAAGCATATTTGTATAGTGTAATGAACTTGTGGTGGTGGTGTTGTATACTATTGTCTATGGGAATTTTTTTTTTTTTTTTTAAACTAGATACTGAATACTGAATATTTTCGTCAAACACAATGACACTAGAGAATACCTTAGTCCTTCTCTTTATAATCATGATTTGTTTAAAGAACTATAACATGATTATAGTTAAAGAACTATACACTACTATTCAAGAACTTGATAACAGCTCCCGAGTTACATTTTTATAAAATGCATGGGAACACTTTAGTTTAGGGACCAATTCTCACTATTAACTAGTTGCTTATTAGCATGCCTATTACCAGCATATTAGCTGTTTATTAGTACTTACAGAGCACATATTAATGCCTTATTCTGCATGACAATATATTAGATCCCTTATTATAAAACAGAGAGTTCCGGTCCTTGATTCTGATTGGCTGAGCCGCGTTCGAAGCTGTTGTAAATTACTCTACAAACATACACCTTTGTTTACTTCTGTGTGTTGCTCTGCAACCACTTTGTTGCAACCACAACTGTTTCTGAGGAACTACATTGTTTGGTGGAAGAATACTGTTTTTATTAATATCATTACACTTTATTTGCTCTGTTTTATTTTGTGAAACCTTACTACGTATATGGAATAACCGTTTTATAAAAGCAATAAGCCCCGTGAAGCCGTGGTTTACAGTGAATTTATAACAGCTAAGGGGCGTTGTTAGGCAAGACGCGTAGCGGAGGCTTCTTGGGGCTTATTGCTTTAATCCACCCCATACCTAAACCTAACAACTACCTTACTAACTATTGATAAACAGCAAATTAGGAGTTTCTTGAGTCAAAAGTCATAGTTAATAGTTAGTTAGTAAGAAGAACTGGTAAACTTTATTTTAAGGTCCAATTCTCACTATTAACAAAACATTAACTATGACTTTTGCTGCTTTTTAATAGTAAGGTAGTTGTTAAGTTTAGGTATTGGGTAGAATTAGAGATGCACAATATAGTCATGCAGAGCATGTGCTTTATAATCACTAATAAACAGCCAATATGTTAATAATAGGCATGCTAATAAGCAACTAGTTAATAGTGAGAATTGGTCCCTGAACTAAAGTGTTACCAATGTATTTTACAGGTTTTAACCAATGAATGGAAAATATGTCAAGATGACCAAAAATCCATTAGAGTTTGTAACTTTGGGAAACTAAGCCAGTGGGCTTTAAAATGGAAACCATATTTGATGGTTTCACAGTCACTCTTACTCTATTTGTAGAGACCACAGTTCCTATTGATTTCAAATCCATAGTTTGCTGAGCAATGACCTTTGCTTTTTCACATGCTGGTTTGCAGGTCTCCATTTAGCAGAGTGTTGTGAGTTTCTGTTGGCTCATTCATGATTCGCGGCTTGTCCTGTTTGCTACTAGTGCGTTCAGCCCCATCCAAAGCACCCGCTTTTTTCAAGCACAGCACATTCTGGAAACTCTTTTTGAAGTTCTCTGACAAGAAGGCATACAATATTGGGTTTGCACAGCTATTGGCGTATCCTAGCACCACGACGAAGGCAAACATGCTCCTTAAAAAAGGTGTGGTGCTAATGGTGCCTGTGACCGATGTCACATTGAAGATGTAGAAAGGCAGCCAGCAGAACACAAAGACGGCAACCACAATGGACACCATACGCGTCACCCTCTTCTCAGACTGCCTCCGTTTGCTGGAGCTCACCCTGACTCCTGAGGACTTCACCTTGATGATAATGCACAAATAGCAGAGACATATGACCATCAGAGGCAGGAAGAAGCCCAGGAAGAAGGTGTAGAACATGAAGGTGGTGTAGTAGGTCTCCTGCGGCTCTGGCCACACAATAGTGCAGAAGCAGCCGTCGGGTTTGGTGATCAGCCCACTGTAGATTACGATTGGGAGGTTGACGACGAACGACACGACCCACACGACCAGATTAACCGTCTTTGCGACATGGGGCTTCCTCCATTTGGTGGACTTTATGGGATGCACCACAGCGAGGTACCGATCGATGCTCATCACCATCAGACAGAAAATACTGGTGAACTGATTGAGCGAATCCACAGTCATGACCACGCGGCACAGAGCTGCGCCAAACGGCCAGTGCACCAGCACCAACTGGATCGCGACGAAGGGCAAACTGAGCATGAACAGCACGTCTGCCACCGCCAGGTTCAGGATGTAGATATTGGTGACCGTCTTCATCTTGGCGTATCGCAGGATGACGTAGATGACCAGAGCGTTTCCACACAGACCGATGACACACACCACAAAGTACATGAAGGTGATGTCGGCCGTGCTGGTATTGGTCAAGATCTGGTCCGTCTCATTTCTCAGCACTTCTTCAGATATGTTGATGCCATCGTACATGGGGAGTCCAGACAGTTTGCTGGGGAGGTTACTGGGTGAGAACGAAAATGTCCAGGAATCCATTATGTATATCCCTCAGATTCCCAGTTCCATTAAGTGCGACTTACAGCCTGGGGGGAAAAACATATGGTGGTGAATGAAGTATATACTCCTATATTGGTATCAGTGCTAATCCTAATGCAACCAACACAGAATGTCTCTGTTCCAAAACATAGGATGCTGCCTTGTTTGTGAGAGCCTACATAGGGAGCTGTCCTACTGCCTAAAACATCATCCTAACTGACAGATTTGGAACATTTTACATCAACGGCAAGTCAAGTGTTTTATTCAAACTAAGGGTGTATTCACACCTGCCTTCTTTGGTTCGATTGAATCAAACTCAAGTTCGCTTCCCCCTTTGGTGCGGATCTTTTGGGCAGGTGTGAATACAGCAATCGCACTCTGGTGCGCACCAAACAACCGTACCGATGCCCAGCTGAAGAGGTGGTCTCGGTCCGCTTCCAAACAAACTCTGGTACGGTTTAATGGATGAACCAATTAATGGACGACCTCAAGCACACGTGTGGTTTTGTTTACACTTTCTGGTTCACTTGCAAAAAGAGCAGTGTGAAAGCGAACCGCACTAAACCAAAAAAAATCAACATTGTATTTGGTCCGGACCAAAGCAAGTGAACTAGCGGACTTTCCTGGTGTGAATACATCCTAATTTTTCACAAGTTCCACACAGAAGACTTAGGCTGTATTCACACCAGGAAAGTCCGCTAGTTCACTTGCTTTGGTCCGGAACCAATTTTTTTGGTTTGGTACGGTTCGCTTTCACACTGACCTTTTCGCAAGAGAACCAGAAACTGTAAACAAAACCACACGTGTGCTTGAGGTCGTCCATTCATTGGTTCATCCATTCAACCGTACCAGAGTTCGTGTGGAAGCGGATCGAGACCACCTCTTCAGCTGGGCATCGGTACGGTTGTTTGGTGCGCACTCAAGGGGGGAAACGAACTTGAGTTCGATTCAATCGGTCCAAACAAGACAGGTGTGAATACACCCTTAGTTAATTAGTTATCATATACACTGCCGTTCGAAAGTTTGGATTCAGAATGATTTTTAATGTTTTTTAAAGAAGTCTCTTCTGCGCATCAAGGCTGTATCTATTTGATCAAAAAAAATAATAATTTTGTAAAAAATTGCAATTTAACATAACAGTTTCCTATTATAATATACTTCAAAATGTAATTCATTCCTGTGATCAAAGCTGAATTTTCAGCGTCATTTCTCCAGTCTTCAGTGTCACATGATCCTTCAGAAATCATAATAATATTCTGATTTATTATCAGTGTTGGAAACAGTCGTGCTGCTTAATATTTTTTGGGACCTCTGATATTTCCTTGTAATCTTTGATAAATAAAAAGTTTAAAAGAACAGTGTTAATTCAAATTTTGTTTTACAACATACACTACTATTCAAAGGTTTGGGGTCAGTAAATTTTTTTCTTTTCTTTTTTAAAGAAATTAATAATGCTATTCAGTAAGGATGTGTTAAATGGATAAAAAGTGATAGTAAAGACTTATATTGTTAGAAAATATTTCCATTTTAAATAAATGCTGTTCTTTTAAGATTTTTATTCATCAAAGAATCAAAGAAAAAAGTATCACAGGTTCCAAAAAAATACTAAGCAGCACAACAGTTTCAACACTGATAATAATCAGCATATTAGAGTGATTTCTGAAGGATCATGTGACACTGAAGACTGGAGTAATGATGTGCTGCGTCACAGAATTAAATAATATTTTTAAGTATATTAAAATAGGAAACCAATATTAGAAATTGCAAATTTTGTTTTGGATCAAATACATACAGGCTTGATGAGCACAAGAGACTATTAAAAAAACATAAAAAATCTTACCGATCCCAAACTTTTGAATGCCACTGTGTATAAAGCCATGCAGTATCACTGGATAACAGTATTACTTATTTAAAATTTGTACATTTTTATATTCAAGCTGTAATGAAGATGGTATGGTCCTGTATACTTTAGTTTACTTTGGTGTGAAAGATTAATGCTTCCAGTCATACTGTTTTTTTTTTTATGTTGTTCTGTACAGCTATACAGTCTAGTAACTGACTTGGGAGAGCAATGTCCTCTATGTCACAATCATCCCTGGTGGACAAACAGGCTGAAAAGCAAAGTAATCAATGTCCCTCTCAGATCCAGACCCATTTATGGCTTTAATTTTTTTTTTCTAGGGCATGTGTGCATTAATCCTAATATTAACCACTAAAGCTCCAGGACTGAAAGTCCAAAGCTGCTCATGTCAATGCAAGGGGTTTCATTTGTAGCATTAATTACAGTCTCTTTAGAAAAAAAGCAAGAACTTTTAAGTGGAAAAGTGCATATTCTATCTAGACATGAAGGTAACAATTTTATGAAAACAATGACGTTGCTTAGTATAACTCTCTAGAACTTAGTATAACTATAGAAAATTATAAACAGAAAACTGTTCTATATTAATATGCACTGTGATATTATAATTAATTAATATTTTTATATAACAACATAAGCATTCATGTTTCAATTTCTGAATTATCTGATGGACACGATAAATAAAAACTATTTAAAAAAACATACTTTTGGAACAGGTCATTCTTACCTAGTACAGTGGGATCCCGTTCATGGTTCTGCTGAGGAGCACATGTGGAGTATCCAAACACATGATCTGATCTGATCTGATCTGAACTGAACTGAAACTGAAGAGATCTGACCCTGTGCCGAGACAAGCCTCTCCGAGAGAGAGAGACTATGTATGCGTGTATTGAAGAGAGCATTTCATGCAAGTATGACTGCTGTTTGTTCATTACTGATGTGTCTGTAAAACATTATTTTATATACATTGTGTATTATGTAGTATTGATATTGTTTGTGTGCGCACTGTGATAACAATGAGTATATGCACCCTTTTGAAAATATCTTCCCTGTTGAAAAAAAACAAACAATAGAAACCATCACAGAAATTATAATGGTTTCCGCTACAAATACCATTACAAACCACAACTATTAACCATTAAAACCACTAACAAATAGTTTCCTGTAGAATGTTTTGGGACATATTTCAATAGGATTTAGTGGTTTTGTCAAGCCACTAATAAAAGGTGACAAATTACCAGTAGAGACCCACGGACCAGTACAGTTTCCATTAAAACCAATACAAGTCCCATTATAACCAGTAAAACCATTACAAATTCTGTAATGGTTTCTATTGTTTGTTTGTTTTTTTCAGCAGGGTAGATTTCTGAAATGTATAACTTATAAAATGTGGTGTAAAGTCGTAATTTTAGACAAACACAAGACACTTATTGAGTGGAAGTGTGGGTCACACAAACCAAAAAAAAAGACCTGGGTGTTCATGAAACCACGGTAAGAGACCCGGGCATAGAGGAGAAACAATAATGTACAGTATGTGGAAAATAATGTGTTTTTTTAACTTTAAACCGCATAAACACATTTCATTACACCAAATACACAAAATAATGTTATTTTTAGCAGCATCATATGACCCCTTTAAATGTAGAAAATTCAGGACTGTTGCAACTAACAAGGATGTTTGGCAAAGCACAACGGACGATCCTGAGATCTGGGTCCAGAAGCATGGAGGATGGAGCATCATGGTTTGCGCTGCTTTGCTGCCTCAGGGTCTGGACATTTTACAAGCATTGAAGAACAATGAATTCAAATGTGTATCATGATATTTTACCTAAAAATACTGATAAACTGAAACATACGGAGCCCCGCGCATGACATGCAAGAACAAAAAAAATTGTGGGCACGATTTATTAATTCGTTCCCTCGATTTACTAGATCGTGCGCACCATTTATTCATTCGTTACCTCGATTTACTAGATCGTGCGCACGATTTATTAATTAGATCCCTCGATTTACTAGATCGTGCGCACCATTATTAATTCGTTCCCTCGATTTACGAGATCGTGCGCACAATTATTAATTCGTTCCCTCGATTTACTAGATCGTGCGCACAATTATTAATTGGTTCCCTCGATTTATATAGATCGTGCGCACAATTGTTAATTTGTTCCCTCGATTTACTAGATCGTGTGCACAATTATTAATTCGTTTCCTCGATTTACTAGATCGTGCGCACGATTTATTAATTCGTTCCCTCGATTTACTAGATTGTGCGCACAATTATTAATTGGTTCCCTCGATTTATATAGATCGTGCGCACAATTGTTAATTCGTTCCCTCGATTTACTAGATCGTGCGCACGATTATTAATTCGTTCCCTCGATTTACTAGATCGTGTGCACGATTATTAATTCGTTCCCTCGATTTACTAGATCGTGCGCACGATTATTAATTCGTTCCCTCGATTTACGAGATCATGCGCACGATTTATTAACTCGTTCCCTCGATTTACTAGATCGTGCGCACGATTATTAATTCGTTCCCTCGATTTACGAGATCATGCGCACGATTTATTAACTCGTTCCCTCGATTTACTAGATCGTGCGCACGATTATTAATTCGTTCCCTCGATTTACGAGATCATGCGCACGATTTATTAACTCGTTCCCTCGATTTACTAGATCGTGCGCACGATTATTAATTCGTTCCCTCGATTTACGAGATCATGCGCACGATTTATTAACTCGTTCCCTCGATTTACTAGATCGTGCGCACGATTATTAATTCGTTCCCTCGATTTACGAGATCGTGCACACGATTTATTAATTCGTTCCCTCAATTTACTAGATCGTGCGCACGATTATTAATTTGTTCCCTCGATTTACTAGATCGTGTGCACGATTATTAATTCGTTCCCTCGATTTACTAGATCGTGCGCACGATTTATTAATTCGGTCCCTCGATTTACTAGATTGTGCGCGCGATTATTAATTCGTTCCCTCGATTTACTAGATCGTGCGCATGATTTATTAATTCATGCCATCGTTCGAGGTAAATTGTGTGCACGTTTGAATCATTATCGCCAAACAGGTGCTGGTGCGTTATTCATCTTCAGTAGGCTACGTATCATATCCGCCTTCTTTGTGGACAGACTGAACTCAAAATAAAACCCAATTAAAGTGTCTCTGTCCATAACAATGCGTACGCGGACAGGAAGTACAACTAATTATTATTTCGTGCGCACGATTTACCTAGAACAAGGGCACGAATTATTACACCAAGCGCACAATTTACTTAAAACAAGGTCACAAATTATTACATCAAGCGCACAATTTACTTAAAACGAGGGAACGAATTATTAAATCGTGCGCACGATCTAGTAAATCGACAGAACAAATTAATAAATCATGCGCACAATCTAGTAAATCGAGGGAATGAATTAATAAATCGTGCCCATGATATTTTTTCTTGCATGTCATGTGCAGGGCTCCGTAAAACAGAATTGTGGGGAGGGATGTTCCAAAATTTATCAAGTCTTATAAGCTGGGTTTGGGTTGCGACCAAAGGAAAATCTACAAATTACTAAAGTTAAGGGTTCACTTACTTTTTCCACCCTGTACTCCGAATGATTACTCAATTGTAATTTTCACAATACATTATGTTATTAATTTAGCCAGATCGTTGTCTATAATTGTGAGTTAAGTTTAAAGCAAGTCAAGCGATTGTTTTGTTTTCTCGACTTTCTACAAGAACCAACAGTTTCTGTTTATAGTGTCATAAATGGATAATTGACTCTTTAACTTGCGTACCTGTTCTGATTCCCTGATTCAGCTGTATTAAAGTACAGTATGTGAGAGTAGAAGAGAAAAACCGATATAAAGTGGGTTGACATTAGACAGAATGCAAATATTACACTGACTTTGTGAATATGCTAATTAGCACACAGCGTCATCTAGCAACATTTAGTGACTTTTTTCAAACAGGCTTTGTCCATTTTCCATCGAGAGTGTTTGGCAACAGTCATGACCGGCTTTTTACCTCATTACCAAAGCTTGGAAGTGAGAAGTGACTGCTGAGCTCTTGTGCTGCGGTTTTCATCTCTGTGCAGCTGCGGCGTCTCTGAATAACTGGGACCAGCTTATGTAGAACATGCCTTTCAAGAGGCGCAGCAGGATTTGTCAGAAGGATTACATCATGCAGCACTAGGAGGATTACATCATGTGGCACTAGTCAGCGATGCATCATTTTACAGATGTCGTGTAGTGTCGGGGAAACAAATCCACGTTACTATATTTATCCATTGGGGAAATTAAAGAAAATACTTTTTTAGGACACAATGCTTATGTTTGGAAACTGAAACCGCAACCAGTTCTTCCATTTGGTGTGTTACACAAGAGTTGGCAGCTATAAATAGAGGAGCGTACTCAATATTAAAGTTTTAATTATGTTGTATACATAGTTATAAACTTGTGAAACAGGAAGTCATCGCTGGACAATTTAATGTTCGTAGTCACCCTTGTGTGCTAAATATGTAAATAGGAATATACTTCAGAGATATTTATATCATTAGAGTTTCCAGGGTTCTAATAATTGTGGCCAATGTGTATCGGAGAAAACTATTTATTTCCTAATGTGATTTTCCTTCCACTTTCAATTGTTTTACTTCAATGAAATGATAAATGTGACCCTGGAGCACAAAAGCAGTCTTAAGTCGCTGGGGTATATTTGTAGCAATAGCCAACAATACATTGTATAGGTCAAAATTATCCATTTTTCTTTTATGCCAGAAATCATTAGGATATTAAGTAAAGATTATGTTCCATGAAGATATTTTGTAAATGTCCTACCGTAAATATATCAAAACTTAATTTTTGATTAGTAATATGCATTGCTAAGAACTTCATTTGAACAACTTTAAAGATGATTTTCTCAATATTTAGATTTTTTTGCACCCTCACATTCCAGATTTTCAAATAATTGTATCTCGGCCAAATATTGTAACAAACCACACATCAATGGAAAGCTTATTTATTCAGCTTTCAGATTGTCACAAATGATCATTTATGTTATGTTTTTGAATGAAACATCAAAAGGATAAACGGTTCCGATTTCAGAGCCCTCTTTGCTAATATTTACCAAGGGTGCCAATACATTTGAGCAGTAATAGGACGTAATATATAATGGAAGTACTAGGAAAATACCTGTATATATAGTAATTTTACATACAGTACATTATGTGGTTAAGCAGCCGTTGCATTATTTTGTCGCTGTTGTTGAATAGTATTCTGTATATGTGTTCTGCTATGTCTGAGATCTAATATGTATGTCACATGTATTATGTCTGAAATATTAAATAAAGAATTAGGAATGCTAAGCTATGCCAGAGAGATTGAAAGGCAAAGTAGATATAGAGTGTACTTTGTGCCACACTCCTAAATTGTAACCTCGAATCACCCCAGAGGCAAGGAAAAATCCATAGCAACTGGCTGGTGTTTGGATCAGCCCTTTATGGACTGTTATCTCTTCAAGCCGTTCAATACACACAATGCATTTTGTTTGGAAAATGCATGAAAGCTTTACAGCCCTTAGATATGCTTCGCCTTCAGTAACAGACTTGTTTGATTTCATAACCTAGATGAAAGCAATCGTCTCGGTTTATCTTCTTCATACACATTCCAGGTCTTACTGTAAATGATTCATGAGTGCTTGTCATTCAATGGGAATAGTGAGCAGTATGAAAAATTAAAGCAAGAGTATGGTTGCACAAAGCAGTGCCTGCCACACATGAGCATCTGCTTCCTAAGCATGATCATCCCTAAGTCCAACCTAAAAGAAGTACAATTACTA